AAGCATGTTGATTTTAATCATGATATAACCTGAAAATGGTTAACAACGTTATATGTGTTTTTAACAATGAACGTGTTTTTAAAAGTCTATAGTTTAGGGGCGCCTGCATGGCTCAGTCAGTTGAACATCCGACTTCAGCTCAGGTCATGACCTCATGACTTCATGGAACCATGACCTCATGGTTCGTGGGTTCGAGCCATGCACTGGGGGGCTGTCAATGCAGAGCCTGCTTCAGATTCCCTGTCCCCCCTCTCTCTGCCCCTCCTTTGCACGTTCTCTTGCTCTCTGTCAAAAATAAACATTAAAAAATTATAAATAAATAAGTCTATAGTTTAATTAAGCACGGTAACTCTCACAGTTCATGGGATCGAGCCCTGAGTCAGGCTCCATCTGCTGATGGCATGGAGCCTGCTTGGGATTCTCTCTATCCCCCTCTCTCTGCACCGCCCCCCTCCGCCCCCCCACTCATGCTGCTCTCTCTCTCTCTCAAACAAACTTAAAAAAAAATGCCAGTCAAGGGAGCCTTTCAGAAGAGCATGTGACTCTTGATCTCAGGGTTGTGAGTTCAAGCCCCACATTGGGTATAGAGAATATTTTTAAAAAATTAAATCTTTAAACAGCACCTAGCTGGTTCAGTCAGTAGAGCATGCAACTTTTGATCTCAGAAGTCATGAGTTTGAGCCCCATATTGGGGGTGGAGCCCACTAAAAAAAATAATAAGTAAAATAAAAGAAAATCTTAAAAAGAAAAAAAAAGCTAGTCAATTTGTGTGTTTGGATCAGATTCTGAATTTGATCTTTTGACCACACCTTATAATCGCTAGGAATACTGACTGCAGAGTAGGGAGCCATCTTTTTAACAGGAAAAGAACCATATTTTCTTTTTTTTTTTTTTCAACGTTTATTTATTTTTGGGACAGAGAGAGACAGAGCATGAACGGGGGAGGGTCAGAGAGAGAGGGAGACACAGAATCGGAAACAGGCTCCAGGCTCCGAGCCATCAGCCCAGAGCCCGACGCGGGGCTCGAACTCCCGGACCGCGAGATCGTGACCTGGCTGAAGTCGGACGCTTAACCGACTGCGCCACCCAGGCGCCCCAAGAACCATATTTTCAAATGGTTGACTCTTTCTGCCCATACCTAAACTGAACAAGAAAGCTCTGGTTTATTACTCATTTGACCTGCTGACTTCAAAGTGTATGTGTTGCTCTGAGGGACATCATGAGGGCAATTGCTGAAAGTGGAATAGTAACTACATTAAATATCATATCTATATTTAATCTGCCAAATTGATAACAGTGCTATGGTAACGTAAGGAAATGTTGTTTTGAGGAAGTGAATGCTCAATACTTGGTCAAGTATTGAATTATATAATTTTCAAATGCTTTCAAATGATTTAGGAAAAAAGTATATATTTGGAGAAAGAGAGAGAATGGTAAAGCAAATGTGGCAACTCTTTGTAGATGAACCAATACCAGAAAACTGCCTACCTCCACATTTCTTATACATGAGAAAAATAATTCCCCAGGTCAGTTAGCTAGTTTGCATTTTGCAGCTGCAAAGTGTTCCTAATGGATAACTCAGTCAACTCCAATTCACCTTCTACAAGCACAGAATCACACTATGAAACTGACCCTCTTGAAAGACAGAAATGGACTTAAGGTTCTGGTAACTTACAAAAGGCACTTAACTATTTGATGCTAAAGTACAGTAACTTCTAAAATGCAAACATCAAAATGAGACTTGTGATAAGTGTTTTGAAAAATGCAAAGTACTCCACAAATGCGAGTAGTTTTTAAACCTGTGTTTATGCTTTTTTCCCCTTTTATGCTGTTTAAGATGTTGCCAGAAAGTTAACCCTTGTAGAAACAGGAACTTAAAAAAAAATTTTTTTTTAATGTTTACTCATTTTTGAGAGAGAGAGAGAGAGAGAAGACAAGAGTGCAAGCAGGGAAGGGCAGAGAGGGAGACAGAGATTCTGAAGGAGACTCCAGGCTCTGAGCTGTCAGCACAGAGCCTGATGCGGGTCTTGAACTCACAAACAGTGAGATCATGACCTGAGCCTAAGTCAGACGCTTAATGCACTGAGACACCCAGGCACCCCAGGAACTCTTAAAAAATTTTTTTTAACGTTTATTTATTTTTGAGAGACAGATCATGAGCGGGAGAGGGGCAGAGAGAGAGGGAGACACAGAATCCGAAGCAGGCTCCAGGCTCTGAGCTGTCAGCACAGGGTCTAACACGGGGGGCTCGAACCCACGAACCGTGGGATCATGAACTAAGCCAAAGTCGGACGCTTAACTGACCGAGCCACCCAGGTGCCCCAATGCCCCAGGAACTCTTTATGTTCATTGTTTGCTTATATGGAAATCCCTCTGCAACAATATTTAAATATTTTTCAGTGCAACTACATGAAAGGTAGCAAATTATTATATTATCTATAATTCAAAAGCTTACAGATGCTAGTACCTATTTCTGCTCCTTTTAGGAGACATAGTCGTAATAAAATACATTGCTTAATTTGCCAGGCATTGTGCCAAGTGACTTGCATACATTGTGTAATTCTCACAAACATTCAGTGAGTTTGATGCAATTATTACTTCATCATATGTAAATGAGGAAAATAGCTGCACTTATCTCAGGGCTGCTGTAAGGATTCAAAGAGACCATACATAGGGGCACCTGGTTGGGTCAGTCGGTACAGCAGGTGACTCTTACTCTCTGGGTCATGAGTTCAAGCCCCATGTTTGGGTGCAGAGACTACTTAAATGAATAAACAAAAACTTTAAAGAAAAAAAGAGAGAGAGACTATACATAAAGCACTTAGCACAGTAGGTGGCAAAAAGGAAGTGCTAAACATACGTTTACCATTTATTGGTACCTTTATTTTATTAGTAAACAGACACAGAGAAAAGCAAGTGGAAGAAAAAGGATTTTCAATCCAGGTCTGACTCTCCAATTTTCTGCCTTTTTCTATTTATTTGTTTTTTTTAATTACCTCCCCATTCAAGAGGAGGAGCAGGAAATCCTCATGACAGTGGATGAGCTTAAAAGCCAGGAGACCCCTGTTTTGAATTCGCCCTGGACTGTCCTCACCCCTCATCCCCTACCTACCAATACCTGGCTAAGCGAGCTCCTCAGGAGGGACTTGCTGAATTAACGACTAGGTTTGGTTTCTGTTGTTGTTGTTTATTTACTTTTGAGAGAGAGAGGGGGGGAGGGAGAGAGCGCAAGCACAAGGGGGAGGGGCAGAGAGAGAGGGAGACACAATGTTCCAAGCAGGCTCCAGGCTCCCAGCTGTCAGCACAGAGTCCGCCGCAGGGCTCGAACCCACGAACCGAGAGATCATGACCTGAGCCAAAGTCCTAGGCTTGATCGACTGAGCCACCCAGTCGCCCCAAAGACTAGGTTTCCAGCCTGGGTTAGCTACATCTTTCTGGGCTGGGTACAACTTTCACGACTCGGCGCTGGTGCCCCATCTGCAGACCCAGAAGAGGCTGTTCAGGTCCTGAACAGGGAAACGACTACGTCTTCCCTCCTCAAACGCAAACTACCAAGGACTGTCGCCCCGGAACCACTGCGCCTTCAAGTGTCCCAACCCCCACTCACCACTTTGCTCTCCACAGTTCAGGCCACCGCCACATTTTCGCTGCCCCCGCGCGGCGGAGGACGGAGCGCGCCGCACTTCGCGGCGAACTACACCTCCCACAATCCCAGTCGGCCGGACCACCTCCCGCTGGAGGTGGGCGCGGAGGCGGAGCGGATCACCCGGGGGCGGGGCGGAGCCTTCCGAAACGTCCTGCCTGTGTCCTACAGGGTACGGTTCATTTTAGGAGAGATTCCTGGGTTCCCTGTTAAAGTAGGACTTCTGTCCCCATTAGGTACGACTCTGCCCTCCGTCCCATCTGTGGTCCCCTCAGTGTAAGCCGGCAGATGGTCTAGTCCAGGGCCGACCGTGGGCCGCAGCGAGACCCCAGGAGAACGAAAGGCAGGCCGCGCACGCATGCGCAGAGGCGCAGCATGGGGGCGGGAGCCGCTAAGCCCCTTCCCCGCCGCTGTGAAGGTGAGTAGGGGGCGGGGCAGGGCGGGGCGTGTTCCGCGTCAAGACTGACCACTGCCCCGCAATGGCCACGGTTGGATCGGCCGCTACCATCTCGACCAACTCTCCGAGCCGTTGACCCCAACTGTCCAGAAAATTGGGGTCCCTAGAAGCTCAGTTGTAGCGTTTGTACATCAATATCCCACTTCCAATTCAACCACTTCCAGCATTTCGTTGCTATTGTCTGAGTATAAGTTTTTTTCTGCTAGACCCCACGTGTGAAAAATAGCAGCTAACATGTCAGGAGGGCCCACCTTTCGTCTTGGTTTTCTAGCATGTAGCAAACAGCTCCTTCTTGATAAGGTATAGAGCTTAAAGGCTTTTGGACGCTTGATTCTATTCAATTGTGTGTCAGATGAGGTACATGCTTTGCCATGCTGTTTCATGTGTGTACGTCTTCTGAGAAGACTCCTTGAGATGATGAAGACAGCGATACACGAAAGACATAGTGGAGGTGATGAAGTTTATAATCTGCCGGGAATACAGAGAATTAAGCAAGCCTCTTATTGTGCCCTAACCCCACCCATTTTCCTTACGCCTTGCTGTGTGACTTGGTTATGTTGCTTAACCTTCTGGGCCTACCTTTTCCCATAAAATGAGGAGATTGGATTAGATCTCTTAAGAACTTGCCGGCTCTGAAATTCTGCTGTTAGTTAGTGAGTAGAATCCAGATGATATCACAATCTGGTAATGCTAAACATCCTCAACTTCCATTTCTCTGCTAACGCCAGAGAAACCTAGCAGGTGTAAGAATGTGGCAGCAGCGTTAGAAAGAACTGCCCTTCATGGCACCTGTAATTTCTTCCTGATTGCGGAAAATATGAGATTTGCTGATAATACAACTTTCTTCACTCCTTGTTGTCTGTTTGTAGATCATTGCTAGGAGGAACTCTGGGTACAATTATGAACACAGTGTGTGTAATAATGGCTCACATCTTAAGATCTCATCTGATAAATGCTTCAATGGTACCGAATCGAAGGAAAATGCCTCCATATCTTGGTGTCATTAGAAACAGAATGATGTCAACTCAGAAATCCAAAAAGAAGATGAGAGACTATTACAGGCTGCTGAATCTGGATGAAGGATGCTCTGCAGATGATGTCAGGGAAGCTTTTCATAAGCTTGCCAAGCAATACCACCCAGACGGTGGTTCTAGTACAGCGGATTCAGCAACATTCATACAGATCGAAGAAGCTTATAGGAAGGTGCTTTCCCACGTGGTAGCACAAGCAAATGCCGGACAGAATAAAGTTGAAGAAGCAGAGGAAGAGGAAGAAAAGTTCAAATATAAAACACCCCAACACCGACATTATTTAAGTTTTGAAGGTATTGGTTTCGGAAGTCCCAGTCAACGAGAGAAGCAATATAGGCAATTTAGAGCAGACCGTGCAACTGAACAAGTGATGGAATATCAGAAGCAGAAACTACAAAGCCAGTATTTCATTGATAGCGTAATTGTTAAAGATGTAAGACAGAGTAAAGAACAAAAGATAACTCAGGCTATTGAGCGTTTAGTAGAGGATCTCATTCAGGAATCAATGGCAAAAGGAGACTTTGACAATCTCAGTGGGAAGGGAAAACCTCTAAAAAAATTTTCTGGCTGTTCATATATTGATCCCATGACTCACAACCTGAACAGAATATTGATAGATAATGGATACCAACCAGAATGGATCCTCATGCAAAAGGAAATAAAGGATACTATCGATCAACTCAGAGAGGCAATTTTAGTGTCAAGGAAAAAACTTGGGAATCCAATGACACCAACTGAACAGAAACAGTGGAACCAAGTTTGTGAGCAGTTTCACGAAAACATCAGGAAACTGAACAAGCGAATTAATGATTTTAATTTAATTGTTCCCCTCTTGAGCAGGCAAAAAGTCCATTTTGATGCACAGAAAGAAATTGCCAGAGCCCAGGAAATATATGAAGCCCTTATAAAAACAAAAGAAGTCACAGATAAAAACTCAAACAACACTGATCAGGGAGAAGGGGAGAAAATACCTGGAGTCAAGACAGGCTTTTTTAACTGGATGAATGTGTGGAAATTTATTAAAATCTGACCATTTAAATATCCATAATACTACCCCAAATCATTTTCAGTTGTACTGATGTCATACATAGGGGATGAGATTTATTGCTACAACACAAGAGTTTGAGAAATGTATGCCTCTGCACTTTTCACAAAACTAATCACATCTCTAGTGATGTATAAGTGAGAAAGCTGTAAGAAACTGAGAGAAGCGTTCAACCAGCTTTGCTCTGAGGATATTGCAAGAAAAGAACTCCTAAGAAAACAGTTTAATCCATTTCAGAGTTTAAATTTTTTTTTTCGACGTTTATTTATTTTTGGGACAGAGAGAGACAGAGCATGAACGGGGGAGGGGCAGAGAGAGAGGGAGACACAGAATCGGAAACAGGCTCCAGGCTCTGAGCCATCAGCCCAGAGCCCGACGCGGGGCTCGAACTCACGGACCGCGAGATCGTGACCTGGCTGAAGTCGGACGCTTAACCAACTGCGCCACCCAGGCGCCCCTCAGAGTTTAAATGTCAGTCATAGGTGACACGAATTAGGACAAGGACTCAGACTGGGAATCATAAAGCATAGTCCAAAAGTCTTAGTGCACTTTTAAGCTCTAGTAACTTAAAGACCGTTGCTGTTGCTATCTTCACAGCTACTTAAACAACAATGAAAAAAAACCCTAAGAAGTATTATAAAAAGTCACAAAACTATGGAAGTATGGAATGTAGGCAAGCAAACCTCCAAATGATGAATGTTCTTTGCAAGCTTGCTGCATTTAGACCTTGTGGTTATTAAAGTTTAAAACCGTTCTAAGACTTTTGGGATACTCTTTATGTGGATGGAAATGTTATGATCAGGAAATTAGCCCAAAGGAGTTACTGTACTCTCCCTTTTTTATAAAGACCTTCCTTGTGGGTATTGAATAACACACACACACACACACACACACACACACACTATCTGGGTTGTGCTTTTTCCTTCCCAACTTTGTTATCTTGGCTATAGAGAAATCCATCAGCCAAGATAGTTGATATAGCTGTTCTAGAAATAAACTCCAGTGGCCACTTTAAAGAGTTTGGGTGTATTTTCTATCCTTTTGGAAATTAAAAAAAAAAAAAAAGTCCTTGGGCTCAATGGAAACTTAAGATTTCACTCTGGCTTCATCTCTAATCAGAGATTGAAATGTTAGGTTTACATAGATCTATCTGAAGCCTGTCTTTGTCATGTATCAGATTCCCCAGAGGCTTTTTCCATATGAGAATCTCAATTTAGGGATCCAATTTCCTGTCTTAGGAACCCTTTCACACACAAAAAGATGTCTGGATTTTGTGCCAGTTTGCACTTTTGACGAATGACAAAGAGATTAACATTCGTGAGATTGTGTTTTGTCCACTTTCAGAAAATCTGCCGTTTTTAGATTTGTGTAATTGCTTTAGCCACAGAACTGGGCAACTAGAAGGATACAGAGGGTGGTCAAACTGAGCAGATCTTTTTCCTTATTTAGAGTGTTGTATTATGGATGTTGTTCAAAAATGGCACCTGCCACTCTGATCTTGAAAGAACAAGGTTTTTTTTTTAATTTTTTTTATGTTTATTCATTTTTGAAAGACAGAGAGAGACAGAGCACAAGCAGGGGTGGGGTGGAGAGAGAGGGGGACACAGAATCCGAAGCAGGCTCCAGACTCTGAGCTGTCAGCACAGAGCCTGACGCGGGGCTCGAACTCACAAACTGTGAGATCATGACCTGAGCCGAAGCCAGACGCTCAACCAACTGGGCCACCCAGGCGCCCCAAGAACAAGTTATTTTGTAAAGTATGTGATAGTTAAGTCAAACTATATCTTCAAAAGGAAATTTCAGGACTTTCTGCTTACATGATGGGGTAATTAATTGGTATAATATTTGATTATTAAATGAGTTATGTGATTTCTACAATGATGCCATTACTCTAAACAAAACTGTGAAAAGTGTGAAATAAAGCTACATAATAAGAACTATGGTTATAAAACATTTTAGAAGGCTTTGGTTCTGTGAATTTCGTTAATGGGAATTAGATGTATGATACCTAGTTGAATTGTAGCAACCTATATAAAGGAAACCATTTTCAATATTGGATCACGGATGGTAAAGTTACTGGAAAACTCTAGTAAATCCTCAATTTCAGCACAGGACACTTTATAAATATTGTCTCTATTAGTAAGATTAATAAAGTTAATTTTAATGATTATCCAATGGTTCATTGTTATATAAACAATTAATAATAACCATAATTTTGGCTGAGTACCTGAATTAATATTTTTAAAACTTAAAAAAAAATTTGTTTAATGTTTTATTATTTTTGAGGGAGAGATAAACAGCGGATGAGCGGGGGAGGAGCAGAGAGAGAGGGAGACACAGAATCCGAAGCAGGCTCCAGGCTCTGAGCTGTCAACACAGATCCCGACATGGGGCTCAAACTCATGAACCATGAGATCATGACCTGAGCCGAGGCTGAACACTTAGCAGATGGAAACACCCAGGCGCCCCTATTTTTTAACTTTTTTGATTGATGATATAAAAACTGTGACAGAAGGTCACCTGTGTGGCTCAATCAGTCGAACGTCAGACTCTTGATCTCAGCTCAGGTCATGATCTCACAGTTCAAAAGATCGAGCCCTGTGTCAGGGTCTGCACTGACAGTACAGAACCTATTTGGGATTCTCTCTCTCTTTCTCAAAATAAATAAATAAAAAATAAAAAACTGTGACAGAGATTATTCTTGTAACGAAGGCAAACTCGCTGGTGTAAAAACAGATTCACTAAGTAACTAAAATTCAGACCAGAAAAAAATATCCTGGCCAGTTTATCAGAGTTTGTTGAATTGTAATCTTTTTTTTTTTTAATTTTATTTATTCATTTTGAGAGAGAGAGAAGGGTAGGGGCAGAGAGTGAGAGAGAATCGCAAGCAGGCTCCGTGCTGTTTGCATGGAGCCCAAACCCACTAACCGTGAGATCATGACCTGAGCCGAAATCAAGAGTCACATGCTTAACCCTTGGAGCCACCCAGGGGCCCCTGTTGAATTGTAATGTGACACTTCTCTCTCCATGATGCAGCCTTGGCCTTTTCTGTCCGTGTTTCACCTTCTAACTTTGCCAGCTTTTCAGGTGTAGTAGTAAGTTACCAAGACTTCTGAACTCATTAATAGGCGCAAACCAAACAATGCCTGATTCCAAGCCTTTTCAGCGATCCTTTCTTCAGACTGTAGGACCAGGACCCTGGCCCAACACCCTGAGGATAGAGCCTCGCATCCCAGGGGCTTTTGGCTCCCAGACGTGTGAAATGGTTTTTGCCCTTGTTCTGTATGCCTGAGGCTAGTTTGGTGTCTCGGGGCTATAGTTTTCCTTCCTTGATAGAACAAGTGCAATACTACTCATTTTCCTCATGAAGCCACCAGCAGGTGGCTGCTTTTGAGGGCGGGGGTCCTCCCAGAGATGGGAGTCCCCCATGACTTTGTAGGATTGGGGCCTACCACTTTCTGACATACTTCTCTGCTGCCAGCTGCTTGGGTCCCCATCCCTGGGCCTCAGCCATCATTTGGGACATCCTCAGTACCTCTCCGGCACCACTGATGCCGAATTGTCTGTTCCTACAAGTGTTGCTTTTCCTTTTCAACAATGTTTTGTTCGCTCGGCATACATTTATTGGAGTCCTGGAAGGGAATCCACCAGTCCACCATCTGGATGATCAGGAATCAGTAGCTAAGGGGGACAAATGGACCCCTCAGCCCTGAATGTAGCCCTCAGATACCCAGATTCTCATACTCACCCTGGCTGCAGGCAGGGGGCACTGGCGGAAGGGCAGACCCACAGATGTTGCATAATACTTCTTGCCCAGCTGAGACCAGACTGGAACATCAAAATACAAATTTCCTCAAGGCTTGGGATGACATAAGCGGAGGGAAGGCAGTTCCTAGGACAGGATAACCTGGGCTGTGGCCCTCCCCAGTTTGTCTCTGAGCCCAGTGCCCTGCCCACCATTCTCCCACGTCTGAGAGGACCCTCAAGTACCCTAAGCATGCCTCTACTCCCCCAAATCTAGATTTAGGAAATTAAGGACTAAAGGATTTTCTTTCCTGCCAAGACCAGTTTCAGAGATCTGGCATCTTAGAAGGCCCACTTCTTCCCTAGATGATTGATACATGCCACTGTCCCCCAGCCCCCCAACATGACAGATCCTACCTGAGAGTCTCAACAGGACACACGCATCAAGTAAGCTTAACATTGTTGTAAGAGAGACCTAAAGTTGTAGGGAGGGTCCTTCCTGGTGTACCTTGAGGACCTTCTAGCAAGAAGCACATGATCCAGTGGTGACTCAGCTTTAGAATTTATAGCTGGGCCTCTATGGTCTTTGTGGTTTCACCTCTGTGGGTGAAGCTGGTTCCATGGCCGTGTCCTCTCAACTTTTCCACTTAGCCACAGTTTGTCCCATGATTTGCCCAGTTGAGCCCCAAGCTTCTCCATGAGATTTGCTTAAAAGATGTGGTGGACATCTGTTGCACTTTTTGGCAATAAATAGCCACTCTTGCCACGTTGAGTGGTGGCCTTACATAAGCAAGAATTCACAAAGTGGAGAAATGAGACAAAAGCAAGTGCACATCTCACCCTCCGAATGGCCTGTATTGATGGTGGCATGTGCCATTCATCTAGGGAGGATGTGGTTCCTAGCACAGGAAGTCAGACCTTCGAAGCCGACCTTGACAGGAGAGAAGATCCCTCATTTTCTTAAATATGCTCAGAAGTGGGCATGTGACCTAGGCCCTGCCAAGACCTGTCCTTGGGAGACAGAGTTCAGAATGATGCACAGGACAAAAGAGGCTGGCTCTCTGTAGACGTTCCATTTAGCTGGTGCAGGAAGGCAGTGGCTGCCAGGTGGACACAGAAGTGACGTCAGTGCCACGAGCAGTGACAGTCAAGTTCTTGGCTGTCTTGTAGTACGTGGTTGTGGCCACAGCAGCTTTGGTGTTTTCCTCACCAGGTCAGTTCTTCAGTGTTGTTTTAGTTAC